TTGGAGACTTCGCAGAGTCTTTTGAAGTCTCTGCTATCACGAATCTACATTGCATAAAACACAGAACTTATAATTATTCAAGGACGTATCCATTCCGGCTGGACAATCTTGGGCGGCAATTTATTCAGCATCTTTATCAAGTACGCAGCCGACCATCAAGCACCCACAGACCACGTTCTCGAGTTGCCTCCAAAGCGTGTTGGTCTACAGGATTATCCGTTTCTTTCGGGTTGCCCTCCCTGTCTAATGTCGCGTCCGGGTTTGTCGCAATAGGTATATCAATGTGATATTCGTTGTGGTCGCTTCAGGACTCGCGGTGAGATGCTCTAGGCAACGGCTTTAGAGGAGTATCACTTGGTGTAGGATCGGTCGGACAAGTAGGTGTTTACGTTCGCTTTAAATAATGGCTAGCAAGCGGATTGCAAGTCGTCGTGACGATGTGGATTGTCGCGCGTGTATGCGGGTAGATTCTAGCAATATCGATGGTGTAAATTCATACTGTGTTTTAGTCTACAATAGCACTGTTTTCTTATCGACTCAGAAGCCCCAAATATCATTTTGTTCTTGCCGTTCACCTCCTTCAGATCGCCTCAACCCTTCCACTGTGTTAGTCATGAACAACAGTTGAAGTGCTTGACTCACAAGATCATCAGCCAGCCAACCAGGTTCCCATGGCACCAACAATGCAACCACCAATGATATGTGGCCAAGCTTCTTTCAGCCGCCCATTATAACTCCAGACTGCCCAGGCATCCATAACTGGACCCCCAAGCGCCATCAAAGTCACCAAGCCCGCACTCTCCTGGTCCCCTCTGTACATGAACATGCCAATGGTGAGACCGAGAGAGAGATCTCTAGCACCCATAGGCTTGATGTAGGCCAGCGTGGCTCTATCGCCAGGACGAGCGGTGACACCGAAGTTTTTGGAGCGGAGGATGGGGTTTAGTATGGTGGTGAGACCGGCGGTGGTGAGGAAGGTGGCAACGAGGTAGCCAATGGCAGGCTTGAGCGCATTGATGTCCATGTTTCTTTGATGTTATTCTCTGTTTCAGATCCTAACGCTTTCCTAAAGCTTCAGCCAAGGCCGGGCTTGGCGTTGGAGGACCTACTCTAGACCTATTGACAGAAACGAAAACTAGTCAAGGGAAGAGATGTAAGTCTAGAGCTTGTGCTTCGTCTCTGTGGTACTGATATAGTAATTTTCTTGCTTCTTTGTGGGTTGAAGAAGGATGAAGGAAGAGTATCCGTAAGAGAATGAGAGGCGTGTTCGGGAATTCGGTGAAGTCCGCCCGGCCCGAGACCAAGGGAGCTAGCGTGCCAAGAGATAGGTATGTTCAATATCCCTCTCGCTGTGTTCGGGGTGTTACACGCTAGTAGGGGCCAGATGTAGGGGTTATCATTTGTCCAATCACTGCGGCTTAAGATTTTGTTTACTCATGGGCGCGGCAAGCCTGAGTTGATCAATCAAGATCCCTATATCTGACCCCTGCTAGCGTGTACACCCCGAACAAAGGGGAAGGGATACCTTACTGCGATCAAATTCTACTAATACTTTGTATACCCTATAGTCTTTTTCCCCCAGGAGTTGAAGAAGCGTTTTGCATACGTCGATGGTCAGCTCAATCTTTTCCTAAGCCGATGACCCTGCCTAGGCTCTTCGAGAGCCCACTGCGCGCTCCGCGGCAACATCCTGCACTGAAGCCAAGTCTTTAAAGACCCCTTAGGATCACACTTGCATTACACCCTCGGCAGTATGTCACAGAGGCAGTAGAAGTCGCACTTTGATATTTCCAGTGCCTCTTCAACACCAATTTCCATGGTATTTTGTGGTACTAGCCACATCTCGTCCATCTCGGTACGCCTAAGCGAGGTCTCAACATGCGAGATGGATTATGAGCGGCTCGAATTGACATACTGATTCTGGTTCGCCGATCTCGCATTCAACGTTGGCGCTACCACATAGTGATGCCGGTGCGCAAGATGCAGCCTTGAGCAGGTATAGCGCCTGCCAAGATAACAGTGGTTCAGCTTTTGTCCTTCAGAAGTAATCATACATGAATGGACTCCGCCGTATAAACACGGATGGCCGCTCTTTACGCATACTCTTTAGCAAAAACAGCTGTACAACCCACACTGTTTCAGTCTCGTTCGATCCTTCACTTCGTCCGAGTCGCTGAACAAGAATCGCCATTATTCGATTGCGGGTCTATATTCGCCGCTGAGTACAGCCTTTTAGCATTCCAGGGCATTAAAGGATACCTCATACTTCAAGAATGAACATTTGTAGTACTCAGCAACGCCACGAGAACACCAATCAGCGATACGTTAGGCCGCTTGGCTCTCGACGGTGGGGAGCACCTAATATATATCACTGCCAGCACACAAGCCATCAAGGCCACAGACTCAACGTAAGCAAAGTCGCAAACAGACTCCTCGCAGAAGCCGGTACTACCACTCTACCCAGCGGCGACTACCCATCTTGCGAGCATGGTATCCTTGCTTCGTGGGATCAGTGCCCATCGCGCTCCAAGGCTTCGCAGCCGGAGTCGCCTGCGGGCTCTGGAAGAGAATCAGGCTGCGTAGTTGACAGCAAGGGCAACGGTCGCTAACAATCACAAGCAGAGAGGGCGACGACTTTCTGGTCGATGCGAATACGAGCGCAAGGCGCGTCTGCTTTGGGATTTGCTTGGCCGAGGGATGAAGCTCGCAACTGAGACAGAATGGCGCAGATTTAATGAACGATGGTCTTGCGTTGTACTATTCCGCTCGGTGCTCTCTCGGCCTTTGATACAAAGTTTTCGGCAACTACACATGCACATTTGTTAGCTGGTGTCTGGCAGGTCGTGGCCGGGTCGCATTCGAGGGTCCTGGGGGGGTAACGAAATCTTGGTAAACACTTGCCAAGATTGACAGCCAGCATTGCGGAAGTAATTTAGAAGGTTACTTACTGCTGTCTGCTAGACGTCGTTCGCAGTGGGGCATACTTGCGACTACTTGCTTCTAGAACCGTGCCCGCTCTGGGATTTGAAAAGGGGTCGCTGCATTCCAGCCACCGTCTCAAAACATCTTGGTCAATGTTGAAGTACCTGGCTCGCAGCCCGGTCCCCGGTCATGATTTGGTCGAGATCTGAAATTGAACGAAAGCGGAGTTGGATCTGACGATATGGAGTAATTAGTTGCCCCATTCGTGAAAAACACGCGTTACAAGCACACATAAGGGCCCACATAGAGTGTAGATTGTTTGGGCCGTCTCACGCGGGGATAGCAGCCTAATAGAGGCTTGAACAGGCGTATTTCTCGTACTCCAGCACAAGAGAAATCCCATGCCTATGGCATAGACCTGGAGTGAAATGATAGCTAGCTATGTACAGGTGTGGGTGGGTGGGACAAAAGGTATGCAATGGTTCTGAAAGAGACAGAATCGAATGAAGAGCCATTGACAGGTGCAAAACAGTTGGCTATATAGCTCGTACTGGACACCTGTCTCCTACCCCTTGCAAGGGTACCGACAAGGCCATGAAACAGGAGCATATCATATATCCCACTAACCCCCAGTCCCACGGTGGCGATCTCTATGTGGAGATAGGTGATCCAATGCCAATTGTCAATAGAGGCAACGCTCTTAAGCAAGCTGATAGGAGTTTCAAATCAATCTGGCTCGTGGAAAACCATCTGTCTGGCATCTACAGACCGTCAAGAAGCAACAAGATTCAAAAACTCCATTCATTGCTCCGTTTCAAGAGAAACGACAAAACCTCTTTGTCGCCCCGCTATTGGCCCTTCTTTCCCATTCCAATATCCTACCCATTGACCCACTCACTCTTTGTACACCTCGGGCATCTCACCCTTGAATGGGTTTTTTATGCCCTCCCTCGAAGTGTGCCGAGCAAAACTCAAGATGATATCGGCTGCGAACTCGGGGTACTTCTGAAGCAACGGCTTGGCTATTGGCGACTTGTACCAGTCAAAGTTGATGTTGCAGGCGTAGAGATCTGCCAACAATCTTCGGATGCCTGAAGTCTGAGGAACATTTTGGTATGCATAGGCGATTGTTTCAATGCTGGGTCCCGTCACGTTGCCGGGCTTCAAGGTCTTGAAGATGATATTGGCAATGCAACCCTTCAAGCTGGTCATGCCGTACTTGTCGGCAAGAACGTACAATCGCATAGGTTCCATAAACCTTCCTTCGTCCCTGATTTTATCCCCAGTTGGTTGCAGAATATCGTAGCGGTGACTATAAAGCCATTCAACCATGAGGTTGAAGATATCAGGGTCATCTTCCGGGAGGTTCATCTTGCGCTCCGAGCTTTCTCTAAAGTTCGAATTGAAAGCGGCCTTGAAGACTGGTGAAGCCTCAAATAGCTCTGCCTCATGGACCTGGAATGCAGTTTCGGCTTCACCGACGACCAGAGTCACGGTGGCAATATCACCCCAGCTAGCGACTGTCAGCAGACTACTCTTACCAGTCTCAGTAGGAAGGTGCTGACATACTGACGCTTCTTTGGCGTTGCAACCGGCGTAGAAGGAGTCGTGGTTGCCATTATCAGACTTGAGGGATTGATGTAACAGCGTGAGGTAGGAATAGTCGAAGAGAATGGAGGTAATCACTTCTCGAAAGTGATATCAGGTTGTGTTGAGCCGCTTCAACACATGCCGGCTCACCATCGCAGTATGGTTTGCTTCCCGAGGGTACTGGCAGCTGAAGAATGCCAACACTTCGCCTGTCTTTTTTCCAACTCGCTCGTCATTAATCGCCACAGTTGCTGTGATTTCACAGAAGAAGAAAACCGCTTTAGACTTTGGCGCTGAAGGCAGAGCTCGCACTTGACAGGGTACACCGGCGTCTGCCCGCACCTAGGCTAGGCGATAAGATTCATTTCCGTCAAGGCATTAAAATGCGAGAATTCTCTCACCCTTATCAAAAGACACGCAGGCAGCAAGCGGAAAGCACAGATACGCGCCAGCTTTACACACGGAGCTAAAGGTGGCCAGCGGATCCCTCATTTGATCGAGATCCATTCTGGTGTCATCCGAGAGTATTCAGAACCACCTGGCATCATATCATCATTGCCAGCGTAACATTCCCCAACGAGTCGAAACTCGTTCCCATCTGGACGGAGTACCAGCGGTACTTCAAACCCTGGGAGAACGCATAGTTTGTCGTACATATGCGTGCTGTGAGGTGCAAGTCCCATACGACCGCCTTGGGTCACGAAGAAGGTTCGGCCAGGAATGTTCTGAATGGCTTGGAGATAATCCCAGGGTTGTAATTTGCGCTTCATCGTGCTGGCGAATCTTGGATGTTTAGCAAAACGTAGTGTTTTCAAGAGCTCTGGTCTCTCAATTTCTGGAGCTTGAAGCATTGATTCGTCAAAGAGAAGAGCTCGTCTGAAGAGTTCGGCGTCTGCACCTCCACCGTAGGAAGCTTCTATTCCGAGATCGGCCATGTCATCAGCTTCGAGAAGCCATTCCATCAGTGCCTTTTGTTGCTCTTCGTGTTCCAGTGGCTTCCCAATATCGACTTTTGCGAAACCACGCCTGCTGATTACATCACAGATAAGGCCTTTTATCTGGATAGTACCTGGCAAAGTTGCAGACCCTATCAATGTTCCACCTTCCGCTGACCATTGCATTTCAGCCAAGTTGGAACTGACGATGGTCGACCGCTCCAAGGTAAGGTTTGTTGGACGAGCACCGGGCCAATCAAAGGTATTGGCAGATGCTGGGATCCTATGACAGGTTTTCCGCGTCCATATTGGCGCAGGGAATGAATCGAAGGTCCAGTCTGGCACCCAAGAAGGCAGAGAAATTTGCTGATTAGCAATTCCTGCTGCACAAATCAATGCAACCATTCTCAGATGAGGCCCTTGTAAAATATCTGGATATGGGTGCCATTGCTGCTGTGACAGCTCTTCCGGGCGTCTGGCAATCTCTTGATAGACTTTATTGATAGTCTGGTATGCCATCTCGTGAAAAGTAGTCTCTGCAGACTTCTCATAGTCTGCGGTCTGCGATGAATTGGAAATATTGAGCAATGCGTAGAGCTTGTCCTGCGGTTTTGCTGCGCCATAGGCCTTGTATGTCAGTGCCAGATTGAAGAGATCATGATGAGTGCCATCTTCTAGCGTCCGCATAGTTGCAGCAATGCGGTAGACTGAGTCTGCTGGCAATCCCCGGAAAAAGATGTCCGATCCTAGCAAAGTCCTCGGTAAGTGCTCGCGAACTAAGACCATGATGGATAACATTCCTTGCCAGGAGAGTGAATACTCCTTTCCCCACAGAATGTCCGTTTTAGTAGCAACTGCAGCTTCTTGTACGGTCCAGATTCGGGAGAACCATGGTCGCGAGAGCAAAGATCGTAATTCCAGCCAACCTGTGTCCTTAGGGCCAGGCAATCCGTGAGACTTAAGTTGGTCTAAGCCTATGCTACCTCTAGTCTGCTGGGACACATCATCGTTGCTGTATTTGTTACCAAGGCCCGCAATCTGGTCCAGCTTCAACAGACGGTCAATTATCTTATTAGCCTTGCGGGAGTCATCTTCGTCGTCGCCCAACCAAATCAGCAGCCTGCTCGAACGCCGATAAATACCAGCCATCAACCCCAGTTGCTGCTCCTTCTCTCGGAGGTTGTCTTGGTCTATGCACAGCTGATCAATCCAGAAGTTTCGAGCTATATCGGGTGCTCGGAGACGTTTCAGCGCACACTCCAGATTCGGAGTAACGCTAAACGGTGCGTTATCACAAACAATAGGTCGTGTGCGATTCTTTGAGCCCCAGCAATAAGACAAGGCATCATATCTGCCTGCAGCCTCCGCCAAACTGATGACACTGGTAGTGCAAATAACAGGATCTGAAGCGCGGCCGGGGAGAATGCACAGAATACGGCAGTCTTTCTGTGGCTGCGGGAGAGGCTTATTTGATAACGGAGAAGAGGCTTTGTCCTGTTCTTTCAGCGGTAGCTGGGATCCACGACGAATAAGTCGAGGGAGCTTCATTCTCATACGTGAGTGTTACACCGTAGATGGCCGTAGGGAGTTGAGAAGCGGAAACATCAGAGCTTTGGCGCCATCGAACGGTGAATCAGCTGAAAATGAGGGTTGCGGCGCTGGAAATTCCGGTTCAAAGCTACTTGGTATCCTGGAAGTGTTTAATGGAGCATTACGGTCAAAGGCTTATAGGAAATCGAGGATCCTTCTGGGTCAAGGCCGCGCAATCAGAGATTCAGTGACACGTCTGTTTTTTATCTCCGCGTCTTCCAGAGCGCTCAAGCGGTTTTATGGATCAATTGATGGTCAAGAAGAGATTTAATCACTCACTGATGGGAAGGTGAGAAGGCGCAAGTGATGAGATAGATAAAAGGAAGTGAAAAAGAAAAGGTCTGAGGCTGAGAAAGGATGGAAATTTTCACACATTTAAAGTTTAAGTCTTGGCGTTCTTGGCACTTCTGGCACTTCTCCTTTTGGACGTGGGGGGGAACCTCAAACTGTTCCTGAGGCAAGTTTGCCGGCCGAATTGTTGGGAGTAAGAAATTTACGATACTCCCGTAGGAAGGGAAGGAATCTGTATGTTGAAAGCCTTCTCCCGTCAAGTTCTTTCCCTGTGCTTCGAAATGGGAAAGTGGGCCGAGCCCGTACTCTACACACACTCCGGGTGAACTGGCGCCTCTCCCCTTAGTTTTCTCGTTCTCACAGTCCTACAAGTCTTTTCCTACAGTCACACGCGTAAAGGAGGTTTAGCTGAGTGAACATCCAACAATCCGAATGTCAATCTTCTCCCTAGCCCCTACACACAGTCGATCTGACGGTATCCAATCTTGAATGGCGTGCGTGTGATGGAATTAAACCGTCAGAAACGCCTGGCTATCTCAGCTGGATGTTCTCCATCAAAGGTACGTCCAGAATATTTCAATCTGTCCTTCAAACAGTGAGGTCGATGAGAATTAATCAACAAAGCAATGACCGACGAAGAGACTGCACAGGTTCAAAATTGGCAAAAGAGTTTCGTCATCCTTACTGGTTGCGGATTTGCTCTGAATTCCCAGGTCGCACTCTATTTTCGTACCTGCTGAATCGTGGCACGGAAGAACAAGCAAAACAAATTCGCCCTTAGATCAACGTTCTGCTCAAATCGGCTTCGTTGTTTAGAGCTAACCCCGGTTTGATTTCAAGAACTTCATGTCTCCTCCACATTCTATAGCTCAAGTCCCTCAGGATTCCTATATGTTGTGAAGCATGAAAAAGATGGGCTATCCCAAAGTGTAGCCCGCATAATGTGATGGGGGGGCTACTCCAGCCACGGGGTCACGCCTCTTTTCTCAACGCCGTACGGCGCGAACATTCTGATTTCGATGCCATCAGGGCGAGCAATCTTTTCGCCTGGCGGATCTTGTCAAGATTGATAGTTGCGTCCTAGTCACCGCTGCTTTGACTATTCGAGGGACGTTGAAGCCTAGCGACATCTCTACCCTTGATTGAAAGAACCGATCGGCTTAAAATTGAGACGAGCGAAGTCTCCGAAAATCCGCACTGCTTTTTCATTCCTGTTCGATGCGCCTTCTGCCAGCGTCATTCTGAACATCGCAGCGGCGACTACTCTTGCCTTCGCGGTCGCTGTGGAAAGCTTGCCCAGTAACATCTCTACAATTTCACAGTCGGCCCTTATGCCCGCCAAGGCAAACACTTCACCGCGAATCCATTCTGCTCCAAGCTCAATCAGTGCCGACACACTTGCTCGCCTATTGCAAGCGATAGCTTCCTCCAGCGCGGTGCAGCCGCGCCCACCGACTCCTTGCAGCAGAACTTCTATTGTTTCTAAATCTGCGAAAGCAGCTCCTGAGTTAGCCGCTGTGATGCTTTTGTAGCTTTCTGGGTCTGCAGTTCTTGCATTTATGTCTGCACCACAGGCCACTAGACCTCTGATGGTTTTAATGTCTATGGCCTGCGCTGCGAAGTGTAAGGCTGTTCTCCCTTGGTCTGGTCTCCCTTGATCTGTTCTCCGGTCAATCCTGCAACCCCTGTCCAACTGTAGTTTAACCACCAGATTATGTCCATTTCGCGACGCATGATGCAGTGCTGTCATGCCCCTACTGCCAACACTCTCAATTTTGGCGCCTTGAAATAGTAGCGCTTGAACCACATCAAGGTGGCCGTATGGTGCACCTAAGTGCAAGGCTTTGGTTTCGGAGGCTCCGCAGTTCAAATCTGAATAAGGCAGTATGGCAAGCACATTGGCATGGCCATTTGATGCTGCATGGTGAAAAGCCACCGGTGTTAGGAATACGTAACCTTCTTCAATAGGGGCCAACGGGCTAGAGCTTGGACGTTCCGTATACCACGGCTCTCCTCCTCTTAAGAGAGGATCAGCTCCCCCTTCAAGCAGAACCTTCGCTACCATGGCATGTCCATTTTGCGATGCTTTGATCAAAGCTGTTTCACCTAGCAGATTCCGTTCGTTGCACTCCAACCCACGCTGAATGAGGAAAGCAACGATCTCATCGTGTCCGTCTGCTGCTGCGTAGTGCAGCGCCTTCATGCCCATCTTTGCGTGTGGAGGGTCAATATCGGGGCCGCGTGGCACCTTCTGAAGCGATCCCGCCGTACAAAGTGCTCTGACAATCTGGAGGTGGCCATTCTTGGCAGCCGCCTGGAGACATGTGAGACCGGTGGCAGTATCGCTGGCGCTTGCTTGAACACTCCTTTCAAGCAAGGTTTCAACTATCTGCTTATGACCATTGCTTGCAGCCTGGTACAGTATCTCGTGCTCGATGATTCTCCCATCCTTGGTCGGTAACATCATGTTTTCCGCTTGGAGTAAGCGTTCTAATATCGATGCGTTGTCAGATGCGCAAGCAATCATGAGTGCTCTATGGTCGGAGAAGCCAAAGGTTCGCTGGCCCAGCAGCAGTTCGACAACAGCATCTTGACCGTGATGACAGGCGATTAGAAGTGTCTCATCATGATGCCGCTCGTGTTTCAGATACTCGTGAAAAGGAGTTTCGACTATCTCGAACACGCTGAGGTGGCCTGTTTCCACAGCCCAATGAACAAGCCCATTGACGGTAGGTCTCTAGCTTCTTGGGCATCGGATTCCGGCACTGGACAGCCCTTGCATCCGTTCGGGCCGAAGTGTGTTGGTGAGGACCCCACGGCCGAAATCCGAATGCTAGAAATTTGTGCTAAACGAGATCCTAAAATTGCAGTCATTACATACCTGCTCCTCATCGGTCAATTCTCCAACGAAGCGGCTCCGTTCTCGTTCCAAGCGTCTGCAGAGAAGAGGTTCTGAGCCGTCTCCGAGAAGTATGATCACACGAAAGTGGACAATGGGCTTCCGCTCGAGAGCTAGCCAAGTAGGAGGATAGTATTATGTTGCCTTACGGGGTCACATAACCTCAAGACTCCGATTCCTACTGCTGTATGCAGCATGAATCGTAACCTGTATCAAGGAGGAAGAGTGGTGATCGACGCGCCGATTAGCCTGTTCAACGCTCGGTATATCTGTATGTGATACAATGAATGGGCAGATGAAAGAACAAGGTTGAATTCAAGGAAGAGTAAGCGCTAAACTCAGTATAATCTAGACCAGCCTTGAAGCTACTACTCATCCGGCCTATTGTCCTGACTACTCAGTTCGACTCGCCGAAGTTCAGCTCTCATTTTCATCAATCATGGAAACCAATTTACACTGTCAGTCGCTATTAATCTTTGTGACCCTAGGATTGTGAAGGCGAGCTCGATAATCGACAGGGTTAGAGAAAGCATCGGCGCAATGGCCAGAATAAAAGGAACAATTCTGAACTCAATAGCCACGATGTCACTCACAAAAAAATGTTCACTTTTTCTTGAATGTGTTAAGTTCGAAAAAAGGCGTTGTGTCATCATGCTGTCCGCGTCCTATCTTTCCGAGGTGATCATGGTTGGATGAGAAGAAGATCCGCTGACTTCCGCATGCCTGTGATAAAGCTTAAGAGATTATACCCAATTACAACACATACCCCCGCAGATGAGGTACCGGTCTACAGCGCAAATGTCATGATGAACAGAGCCTCGATCTTCAAACTTCAAGATGACACAGGCATCATTTCGCAACGGGTGTCGCTCTGCCAGTCTGTAAAGTATCGGATTCTGTCCGCAATACGATCGGTGTCGTAGCTGCTAAAGAACGCCGGTTCGCTTCGCTACTTCGAATCCCGAAGTTATATTGGAATTGTACCACGAGACCTCTTATTGAACTGGACCGGTGATCATTCGCCCTGCCAAACTATTCAACAAGCCCCGCGGGCATCCGAAGGTTCCGAGACAAAGGCTCCACAATCAGTAATCAATCATGATGGTCATATGCTGCAGGGACTGTTCGATCGCTAGATGTCTTCAGGTGCAGTATCCGGCGCTATCTCTGCAGGATTCGGGGCGAGCCTCGCTCATTTCGGCAGGCTATTACGCACCGAAGTGCTTACTGGAGCATCGCTCCTATCATTATAACATGTGCTTTATGAGTCGCTGCAGTTTACCACGTATCAAGGGATTTTGTGCTGAGCTGTTAGAGCGGATTTTCAAGCTACAGGTGGCATTGGTATACTTCTCGGAGATAACTCGTCCACAGCGTGGGCCAAAGCAGCCGAAAAATCGCTCAACAAGTATTCCAATTGTGTATTCTCGCAGTGGACTGCTGGGTATAAATACTCTGCCTTTGCTGTGGATATTCTTATTATTATTCAAGATTCGAAACATCGCTGCCAGCAATTGCTTCGCGAGAAACACTCTTCAGACATTTATAGTCTCCTCTCCTCCCCATTTTCTCTACTCTTACCTAGGTAGAAGTCTTGTACTCACTTCCTAACGACATGTCATCTACGACCACATCCCTCAAGCCTTTCAGTGTCGCGATCATCGGCGGAGGCATCGGTGGCCTTTGCACTGCCATCGCCTTGCTCAAATACCCTCACATCGACGTCCAAGTCTATGAGGCTGCTCCAACTTTTGGGGAAATCGGCGCTGGTGTCGGCATCGCACCTAATGCTCAACAAGCTTTGGAGCTCATAGCGCCAGAGGCTAGAGCTGCTTACGACAAACATGCGACCGGCAACATGTGGCCGAAGCATGCTAAGACGATGGCGAACTATGTTGTGGCTAGTCTATCACCTCTTGAGTTGTGGGACACCCGATTAATTGGTGGACTTTCCTCTACAGGGCGAAGGCGAACATGAAGGCGAGCTCATCCACGCTCAACTCAATGCTTCCGGCCAGCAAAGCGTGCACCGTGCGCACTTCCTCAATGAGCTTGTCAAGACCGTTCCTTCGCAACGTGCACACTTCAACAAACGCGTTGATTTTCTGGAGGATAAGCGAAGCGCTCCCGTTGTCGTTCATTTCAAAGATGGTACAACGGCTATCGCGGACGCGGTCATTGGTGCCGACGGTGTTCATAGCGCTGTCCGTGCACACTTGCTGGGCAAGGAAGCTGCGAAGCCTGTCTTCGCGGGGTCGGTTGCATACAGGGCTCTAGTACCAATGGGCAAAGCGGTGGAAAAGCTAGGGGAGGAGTTTGCGGGGAATGCCTTTTTTCTGTGCGGAAGAGGTAGGGTTCCGATCTTTCTTTCAATCTCAAGTTTCAGCGTGTTTGGAGAAGCAGTAGCTCATGAGAGTAAAGGCAAGGCTTCATTCAGCTATCCCATTGACGGCGGCTCCCTCCTGAACGTCGTTATCTTTGATTTTGAACAAGAAACCTGGGAACACGAGAAGTGGGTTCTACCCGCCGATCCGGAAGCCTTGAGAAGAATGTTCAATACTTGGGGCGCTTCGTCTCGGGCTCTCGTCGAAGTAAGTGTTCCTCGAACCAAACCCACTACTTTCTCATTTTTCCCACTGATGGCCGCATACTATCGGCCAATGCTAACCTCTATACAGCTCCTTCTAGCCACCCACGAACCATCTGTCTGGGCTATGTGGGATCATGGCCCAGCATCGACCTACACGAAAGGCCGCATCGCAATAATGGGCGATGCAGCCCACGCGACCACGCCTTACCAAGGCCAAGGTGCGGGTCAAGCGATTGAGGATGCGCTCGTTCTAGCAACTTTGCTCGCCGAAGTCTCCGACCCAAACATGATTCAGAGCGCGTTTTTGGTTTACGATCAAGTGAGGAGGGTGAGAACGCAACGGGTAGTATCGACCAGCCGAGACTCGGGGCAGTTAGTCGGCATGAAGGCAGAGGGCGTTGGTAGTGACTTGGAGAAGATGAGGGAACTATTAAGCTTCAGGATGCACTGGATCTGGAATAGAGACATTCTGGCGCAGAATCGGGAGGCGCTGCAACTGTTCAAGGAGATTTTGTGAAAGTAGGTGCAGAGGAGCAGTAGGGGGGGGAATGGTGTTTTTGATGTTTATGTATTTGGTTACTTATTCTCATTCCCAGCCAGTGCGAAGGCTTGCACCGGTAGTCCTGGGCTCCAAGTTCTGTCCCTTTTACGACAGGGTGGGCATCAGCCCCGAATCATTTCTTATTCATGATCGAGCCCGTACCCATTTCAACTGCCACTTTTTTTGATACCTGGCCTGGCACATTCATTCCCCGTTGAATCAGACGCCGGTGTCTTCACCATTTCTTTGGCATCTGCACCATCATCCGATGGGCAAATTACAAGTTAATACCCTTCACCAAAAAAATGGGGTATGAAATTGTAAGTTGCCACTACTTGGGGTATGATTTTGTAAGTTACCATTTCTTAGGGTATGAAAATGTAAGATATCATCAACTTGTAGATGTAGCTGTCCCTATGCCTTAGAAGTGTAGTTAGGGTATATGTGAGAGCCCTATTATATAGTAGGGGAAAGTGTATTTAGGGAGGATTTTAGGCTACCTTACCCTAACCCGCCCCGAAACTCTACCCTAAAACCCTACCCTTAGATAGCAATTCCAAGCCACTATGGCAACTTACAAAAATCATACCCGTGTTAATGGCAACTTACAAATTCATACCCCTATTAATGGCATCTTACAAATTCATACCCCATTGGGGTATGAAAATGTAAGATGGGGTATGAATTTGTAAGAATCCCATAGTTTGGGGTATGAATTTGTAATTCGCCCATCATCCGATGCTCACATAAACAGGTCTTCATTCGAACCTGAAGATTGATGTTGCTATAGATGCTCGATCACAGACATTTGCTTACAATACCGAAAGGAAGTCTACAATCTCTACGGTCTTCCATTTGAACATCCCTCAATTTCACCCCCACCTGATACACTGTCTCGTCTTCTTCGTCACCCAACGTAAAATGAGCCCACTGGATGCCTCCAAACCGTAGGTGCCATGATGCAGCCTTAAAAGTGTCGGCTTTCCCTGTCCACTTCACCCTCCATTTCACCCTCCATTTCACCCTCCATTTCACCCTCCATTTCACCCTCCATTTCACCCTCCATTTCACCCTCCATTTCGCCCTCAATTTCCCTCAACCCAAGAGAATTTCTCATCTCGATGGGCGCACTGCTTTGAAGGCTCCCGCTGCTCGCTGAAGCATCCTTATCAACCTCTTTCGTATCTTGATGATCTATCATTGATATAAGAAAGGTCTTCTCCAAGACTGCGAGTTCGGGAAGGTTTGCTAGGAAGAGCCTTGCTAACTCCAACATCCTTTCATCCGATATTCCCAGTAGACGAAACAGACAACTGAGGACTGTATCTCCGTTATAGTACTTTGCAAGAAGATCAATATGTTCGAGCAGAAGCTGCAGAATCCTTTTGTCAGTTGACTCGTCACGCGGAGCATTGGTATCGGATGCTAAGACGAGACTATGAAGACCAGTGACCCCATCACACCCGCAGCAGTTCGGATCTATTCCGCGCCTCAGCAGAGTTTCAACCGACAGTGGTGACCCATGTATAATCGCTGTGTCAAGATCCGAACCACCTGCAAGAGCTCCCAGAGATAAAAGAGCTATGAGATTTCCAACGAGATCTTCTCTGCAAGCAAGGCGTACTGGCGTGATTTTATTCTGATGGGTACGTCCATTGACATTAGCTCCAGCCTCTGCAAGGTACTCTATAACATGAGGTAGATCTTGACATTCTGATATGTAATGGAGCGGCTGGCGTCCAAATGTATCCGCGCAATTAACATCAGCGCCTGCGGCAACTAAAGCTGCGAGAACATCCATAGAGCCATTACTTGCAGCCAAATGAATTGCTTGTCGTCCGTACGCCCATCTCTCATTGACAGAAGCGCCATTTTCTAACAAAACCTGCACCATAGGAAGATCTCCCTTCACTACTGCCAGGTGAAGCGGTGGCCCTCTTACGCAGTACAGCGCGTCTCCCGGAACCCGGGCAACGTTAAGTTTGGAGCCAGGTTGTTGAAGTATTATCTCCATAACCTCGACATGTCCACCGGAGACTATAGCATGGACTAGGCAGGGATGTAGCGAGTCACAACTTTTGGGTCTATTTAGGGAACTGTGTTCCTCAGGAATCATTGTCATTAGGTTTTTTACTCTATCGTTGTCACCTCTGCGGCAAGCTTCAATCAACTCCGCGTACGGGTCATGGGCTGATGAGCTTGTTGATTGGTGGATAGTGGTGGTTACCAGGATACCATCATCTCTCGGCAAGGCACTGGTCAAGACTCTGGAAGGTGGCAGAGCCATCAGAGCATCTTTAAGCTTCGTACTCTGACGGTCCTCCTTTCGAGGAGTGACAATTGCATGGTCAAGGTCGGGCTCTTTTTTCCGCAGGCGTAGCCAACGTGGATTTCTGTAATTTCTTTTGTAGACTCTGGCAGTGAATAATTCGTCTTCGAAACTCAGCCGGTGATAAACAATGCTCTCATAGCTCCTGAGACTGTCGTGGTCACCGCTTTCATTAGTGGACAGAGAAAGTCTTGAAGACAGTTCCGAAGGTACGATGGAAAATGCGCTCTCGTCTGACTTCATGAACTGCTTCTTCGATTGCTGAAGTAGGTCGGTTCTGTCTTGCGTGTTAGGACTTCGTCATGTTAGCGGTTGATACTCAATTGTGGTCGCTGCATTCAAGAAGAGGCACTTCCAAACTTTGATCATAGGCTCTGGACAGCTCGAAGATATGCGGTCTCAATGCCGACAAAATTGAGAACTCACAGTTGAATTGCCTGTAGAAGAAGACTCATTGACTGTGCTTGATCTCTAATCCGGTTTTGATGGCCCTGCAAGGTACCTTCGTTCCACACTAGCCGCGATCGCTGGGCAAAAGTCGTATGCGCTGCATCGTACGACTGCAAGTCTTGCTGCAGTGCGTCGAGAACCATGGATCCTGTGCCCAGGAAATTTTCTAGGCGATGTGTAAACCCACTGTTGTCTGTGGGCGTAAAGTCTTTAGACCACGCTCCAATTCGATCCCACGCGAGTTGCATAATGTCCAAGTTCTGCACCATGGTCGAGATTGTAAGCTTAGCATACTTGTATTGTCCGGCGAGGCTGTTCAGGCTTTTAGCAACACTGCCGCATTGCACAGCCAAACTGATGGAGCCCTCAACAAGTCCCACAACTGATACCGGATCCATCGCAGAAGAACGACAAATGTAAGTTATGAAAACTCAAGTAGAAGATAACCCTGCATCTATGCAGGGAGTGACTTTCACTGCAATCGAGAATAGCAGAAGATCTGTGCTAGAAGATTGGGCGTAAGGCGATCCCGGCCACAAGTCCAGGCTGTGCTGGGCCTTTCTATAGCTTCACTACCTTCAAATTGGGCGTTTGACAGCTCATCCAAAGGTTACGGACAGATGAGAGACTTTTCGGTATTCGGCGTTCGAGTCTGTATAGATGTGGCAGAGTTGATAAGAAAGTGGTCGAAGGAGTCGCAGCAGCGGGGCTGAGACAGACGAGGCTACAAGGCTGCATCAGACCTTTCGGTTGATAGGTCAAAATCGCCGTCATTTCTAGAACATTGGCTGTGACGCACAATGACATCAGATTTTCTTTCCGTTTCTTAGAATTCGCGAGACTCAAGATGAATGTAAGATCGCTGAAATTCGACAGGTGTTAAGACTATAGGCACTGCTAACATAGTTTTCCTTGGTAAGGGCATGAAAATGTTTACTTTCTTCCTCTCTCCTTCGTCTCTCTCTGTCTGGCCATCTCTCTTTCTTGGCACTACTGAGTGAGGGACTGTACTATGACGATACAATATGATTGATTGAAGCTGTACACGCTCATCGCTGATCTACCCCCTTGACAGTGTTGCCAACCCTGATAAAGCTACTTTCCCACTCGGAGAAGTTTCTAATACTCTACGCCACGCGGCAGTGGCTGCTCTTTGAGCTGATAAAAGACGATGGTAGAGCATAGTGAGGATAAAGTCCCAGCTCCGAGGTCGTAGGAAGCGTGAAAACCATAGACGATCTAAACGCCAAAAGTCTGAAGCATTCGATTCTACTGGAACCGCTCACCAAACCAACAGGACTGGATCCTTCAGTTGGAGTGCTATCAACACGCTCGCCTTCACACTTGTTGTCGAGTTTTAACCCTTTGACGTTGAAGTCTTATTTAACAAATGCTTAATAGCTACTAACCAAGGATGACTAAAGTACTGAGTACGACTTCGTTCGCTCCGTGATCACCAGCGTGGAGAGATCTCCGCCGCAGTCTCATGTACGCCCGTTCAGTACAACCTGGATGCTCATGGTGGCAACTTTAAAGATAACAATGTAACGAACGAGGCGGGCAACTACATTATCATCGCTGTCTCCTACTCATGTTCCCTATCGCGCGGAAGCTCTCAGGCTCGCTAGCTGATAAACCAACCACCGATCCTCTCTACCTCGGCCATCCACTAGATTTAGAGACCCACGTTCGACCCGTTTATTCTGTCGAGACCATAGTAGCAACAGAGCCGATAGCCGGGGTTCTGAAGTTCAAAAGCTAACGGAGCCTAGACGTCGGATTTAAAGGGTCAGATCTGGAAGCGACGAAGAAACGTCTCTGCCGAATTGTGATCTCTTGGTGGTTTCTTGTATGTACATGCGTGATGACCTATGTGCCATACTAAGAGCACTACACAGACGGCTCCAAGCGGCAGCGTCGCTTCGAATTGTTCTAGCCTGGAAGCATGACACGGAGTGTGTCACCGGCTGTAACTCTACCCAAACAGTGGGCAGGACGGCCTGCATGGCTTTGCTCGCTAAAGTTCCCCAAAGGAGTGATAGGTGGATGAGCTGAGATGGAAGTCCGACGGATTCCGAATGCCTCGGCTTCCTTGAGAATGTTCAGTCTACCAGATATGCTGGCAGGGTCGTAGGGAAGAGTTTTGTTGCACGCAGTATATGCGGATTTGAGACTGAAAGTACAAACGGTACGAAAAACCCTCAGGTTCGTGCAGACATGCGTCGTCGGTAGGCAAAAGACGGCATTGGCTTCTTTCTGCAGAGTTGCACGCAAGCCCACGGAGCCGGGAACGTGCATGTGATTGTGGGGGTACGAGTACAGCAGGCTAACCGGCCCAATGGGCTGATGACCAGATCGGCCTTACCCCATTTCCCAGGTACGCTTTAGGACGCTTTCTTCATCACGATGTGCGGTGACAGCACACTTTGGTGTCGACAGCCTTCCACTTGAAAGCTAAGCTTGCGCATGGTTATGTAGCAACCAATCCGTCCCAAAATGTGCGTCGCTTGGTGCAGAATAGTTTCGTATACCAACCCATTCACTCTGCCCACTACACCCGCAAAACTCGATTCTTCAGCTGTAGGGAGGTATAAAACGTTCGTTGATGGCAACGAAGCCGCTGCAGCGACCTCAGCCATAGTTCTAGATAGACGCAATATTTGTACGAAGGTTTTTCAATACCTCGTGTCTTGCCTTCATATAGTCGTACACCATATATCATCACGAGAGCGGCAAGGCTGACAAGAGAACCTTGTCTGCTGGTGCTGACAGCACGATCGGATTTGCAACAGAAAAGAAGAGTTGAGGATGCAGGAGGAGCGTGATAGAAGCCTCGGAGATATCTATGTGAATTCTACGAGATCCGACGGGCCGAAGACTTGACCGTCTCGGACTTTCAAGAGATAGCCATCAACACGTGCCAGTCCTTCGGTCACTGGAGTGGCTTCAGAGTGTGTTAAGTTGAGGTGCGCAGCTTTCCATCGAGATTTCTCGCCTCATCTGATCGAACCTCCCATTCCTGTTTCATGTGGATCGAAGAATGTGGCGGCGGAACTTCAACCGCAGCAAATGGACTGCGACCATCGACCAAAGAGTCCGGCTTGCTGATTGCATCACTTGCATCAATCTGAGTCTTGTTGTGCTCAAGGTCCGAGAGCAGGGAGGAGTCGTTAAACCTTTGAAAAGCTGGGTTTCTCGATCTCTTCAAGCGCAGCCGGGCCATGCTGCTCGAAAGGACATTGCGTGTTTCCGAGTTAGTCTCCTTACTATAGCCAGTAATCCTTTTGACGGTGGGCGGAAAAAGTGGCAAGCAAGCAATGATGATACCCAGCAGAGGTTCCAAAATCGTCACAATGGCAATCTTTGTAATACCATAGGTGAAATCGTCGAGGTTCATGTGAATAGATAGGATGAGACGGACAATGGTAACAATACATACGCTGTGAACATAGCGGTTAGCTCCACTGAGCAAGGAAGCACACGTCGGGGCACATACAGGAAGCCAAGAGCGAATGTGATTGTGAGTTCAATCTTTCTCCGTGTGGTCATCTGTAGCCCCCAAACCATTGGCATCGGTAGGAGAACGATGGTCAAATCCATGGCTACATTGCAACCGCTGAGAGCAATAAGAGATCCGAGGGGGCTTTCGCAAACTCCTGATTGAAGAGGGTCCCAGTATTTGGCAAGCGGGCGGCAAGTCAAGAGGTCACTGACGACTATCCCGATACCGAAGGCTATCACGAGAACCATTACTGCGTACGTGGTTATAAGGAATGCTCTGTTCGAGCGGAAGATGGTGATGTAGAAATGCACTATGGAGATCCTAATGGACGTGTTTGCTGCAGCCCACGCGACATCCGAGGCTAGATACGCCTTAGTGAGGATACATCAGCATTGTGAGGACCACAGGCGAAGAATGTCTCTCATTCGTTCTTAACATACCTTCAGAATGTCCGGTATTCTTGTTGGGTCTACGTATTGTATATGCTTACCACTTCCGTCGTGAATAATCACTTCTTCTGGTCAGAGAAGCAACCAATGACAAGAAGGAAAGCCAACCTGTGTTTGAGGTTATGACTAGGCTAGCTGCGAAAGACTGCAAAGTCAGCCTGGGGTCGAAGAAGGATACTTGGCTTATGTTCATACCCATGAGACCACCGATGCATAGTCATTCAAGAATAGACCATGGCCCTGAATCTTCCTAGACCACAACCGCATGCCAACAGCGACAGCGGCAAGACCAAGGAATACACTGTTTATGAAAATCACTGTGATCCCCATGGCATCTCCATGGCTGGGACCGACGCTTCTTTGATACATTGTTCGAGAGCGCAATCCAGAATAACAATCAATACACTCACTTTGCGGCATGCAATGCGAGGAACGAGGTGTAGAGTACAGGAAAAGAAGCTGAGGGGCAAGATGACTCGGGGAAACGAGACCCTAGATGTATGCTTAGCGCTTTCGATCAATCGGATAGGCAAAGTAAAGCCGTCGCAATGTCAGCACTCGCTACCAAGATGAGGCACATGATACATTGATACACTGATTAGCATACTACGTGGCAGCCGCTGAGGTGGGCACATAGTGGCAACAATGGATTATGTGGTGCGCTTCGGATCTGTCAACGGTACAGAATCTAGGCACTACCGTTTCGTAGGACTGACCTCCGGCGGTTCGCTGAATCCCGAGATGTTCAAACGCGGTCACACGGACAAAAGCGGCAGGGTCCCAGTCCTGAAGTCCTACTCCTCATTCATTCGGGAGAATTACATCAATGGTGCACAGTGAGTAAGGTTGGTACCCTTTCGAGATCTAAGGAAACCGAAAGAAGAGGCAGAAAGTGTTTGCTCGAAGAGCAAAATTGAGGTGGTCATGCATATAATCGGGGTACAATTCAGTGGACCGAATGTGCACATCGTAGATGTAAATCTCATATCCTTCAATTGTTGCTGGTCGGTGCATGGTATGTGCAATGATGAGGATGACCGCATGGCTCAGGCAGTCTCCCAGAGCCGCGCCAATGGTCAGCAAAGCAGATCAGGACTGGCAAATGCTTGCCACTTGTAAGCCTCACCCTTTTAGGACTTCTTCAGGCTGGCAGGGTCTGGACCCGCACAGACTTCTTAAAGATCGCGCTGAGCTTCCGGAAGTATAGGGGATCCTGCAGGACCTAATGCACAACGACGACCTACACTAGCGTCTTTGTCAAAGTCCTATCCCGCCATCTCTTGTTGCTAGAGTAAGTATGACGTTTCATGTCTTGTATGTGAAGAGAGAGCAATGACCTTTTATAGCCTTGCAGCCTTGGTGGCACAGCACAGCATCGCCTCATGCTGGCGTGCCACTTTTCCGGATGGAATCAGTATAAAAGAACCTGCTTTGTTAATTGGTGTGGTCGGACTCATCGGTATACGCCAGAAGCGTACGCGTCGAGAGTTTGAAATTCGTTGGGGTTTAAAATATCTCCAAAGCAAGGGGATGAAAGAAAACCCATGTACAGAGGCAATCTTAAGGGGGGCGTACAGCCAGAAATAAGCGACAATTGCACCGGATTGAAATCTATGAAATCGCCTTCTTGAGTGAATGTAAAGTATTCTGTTTGAATCGAGTTCTCTTGGCTATGGATTTGATGAGGTAGAAGGCCAACTTCTTCTGGCTGATACGCACAATCAGGCTATGCTGCGGTAAGTCATACGGCCAATCGGCAGAACCTCTGGGTTCAGGATTTGTTCAACTATCAATTTGTTTTCATGAAGCAAAATTTAGTCCTCATGTTGTATGTTGCATTGGATGCTACCACAGTGGCATCAATCAACAGGCTGAAAGTATGTGGAGAGTCTTCTCAAACCCATAGGTGTAGCCCCATTTCGTTCCGACGGATCTTGGCGTGATTGCCTATTGTGTTGCGGTACCCTTTTCTCCTTGACTCAAGCTCTTCGTATTGGCAACGTTCGGGTTCTCCTGAGACTTTGGCATTGAGGACTGTCTGTAGAAAGGACGAGTGCACGTCTATGATCGTTTTAGTCTGCACAATCAAAGCTCGTCTTTCTGAGGAGAGCCAGTGCAGAGCGACCGTACCTCTGTTACGGACGTCTCCCAAGTCAGTACTTCGCTGGTTTCCCGACTCCCATTTAACACGCGGCTTTTGCCCCAGGACCCCGGCTCGCCAGCCTCAATGCTCTTTCAGTGTTTCCCTCGCTCTTTATTCTGCTCTCCTTCCTTGTCCACGGGAGACCTCTCTGGCTTAATTCCAGCAATGGAGTCACTTCTCCTTGTAGCTTGAATCTCATAGGCATGCGATTCTACACATGTGAGGCCCATTTCTGAGGGCAAACGCGTGTTGGCAACAGTTCCAAAGTTGCAGAAGATGATCCGGTGTGTGGGATACGGGACGTGGCGGCCTGAGGAACAGGTAGTCAGTCAACGAGGATGTCCTGCAACGACCACTTTTTGACACCCGTCTGCATCAACAGGGACGTTGTAGTACTGTTGTAGAGAAGAATCGGAAGAGTTGGTGGAGTGACTGGTGATCCTGGGAAAAAAAGGTAGAGAAGCCGACGGAAGGTTTGCCGGAAGTCGCCGAAGTAGTTCCAACACTAGCGTGTTGCTCATCTGCTTACGTAATCGAATCTCTTTGCACTAGCTCAAAAATCCGGGGGTTTCTGTACCTATTCTAACGTCTGGCAAGAGAAACAAATCCGTTGTTGCTTTTTCTCCATCTTCTGTCCTATCCTACACATACAAGGGGTTCTATCATCGACGCTCTTCTCCAGCCTGACAACTGACCAAAGCTCAGTATGGCACTCCTTCCAACCACATTCCTTACGCCTCTCCTGGCCTTCTTGTCCCTCTACGCAGCCCAAAAGTCATACATTGCCATCACCAATCTCCAACAGTACGAAGAGCGCACGGAAAAGGCTGCAAAGCACCTTGACAAGGCAGCGCACGATCTGTACAAGACTCGAGTCACCCAAGCAAGTGGGGCCGCCGCAGTATGTATCCCAACGTCTCCTCCGCAGGTCCTACACGACCTTTCTTCTTCCCTCTCTTTGGCTGAAAAGATTTGTGCTTGCCCAATGCCGAGAGGTCTGTCCTTGTTGTCGTAATCGCAAGGCCGATCACGGTCTCCAAATTCTATGACTAGCACTAACGCCGAGATTGATAATCTTGTGTAGATAGCTCTCTCCTTCATAAGCTCCGTTGTGCTATTTTGCAATCCCAATGCCTCGCCAATTGTAGCGTTGGCCAACATCGCTACGACTGCGGCTGCGTACATGCACATCACGGGGTTCTGGAAGGCAAAGGCTCAGGTACCCTTTGTCACTGGCTTCAATGAGGGAATTAGGAAGAGCAATGATCTGAGGCGGTTACTTGTGTCATTGGGTGTCGGATGGACCTTTACCGGGCTGGTAGGGTATCTATGGGCATGAGCAGGGGTGACTGTCTCAGCCAATATAAGGTCTTTAAGTGAGAACCCAGAATACCGACATACTCTGGTTATCTCACCGCACTGCCCAGGGGTGACAATTGATCATGCTTGTATAGGGTTCGGAATGTTCCATGATATATCTTAGAGCTGATTGACACAGCCGGAATAGCCACAAAACGCAAGAAAATCGAGCGGACAAATAGAGCAGCTAGCAATGAAGGATCCCTTCTTCGTCGAAAGCGTGGTCATCTTAGTTACTATAGCAGTCCTCATCTTTTCTTCACTTACATACACTTCTGCTTCCAAATTCTGATTCGCAGCTTGTTGAATCTCCGCCTGCTCGATCTCACACAGCGCAGCAGCCTCCACCAGAACCTCCTCTGCGTCGCTCCAGAACTCGGCAGTGGTACAAATGCCTTGCCAAGCGGTAGGTATATCACGTGAGCTCGAGACTAGCAGACGCTGTCGGAACTTTCTTGAGCTCCAGCTACTCCTCCGCCGTAAGGTCATAATAAATCTCCGTCTCGTCTTCATTATTAGCATTCAGCCAGTATCATATTCCCCTTTACGGTTTGTAAAATACCCACTTTGGGGCGAACATGACCAGGTCCTAATCTGATTACCGGTGATCTTTAATACCCTTCCTGGCTGAATATCAGTCATGATGTTGCCAGTATCCCACTCATAATATGTCAGGCAATAGGACTCGAAATCCAAACTTCTTCAACGCTTCCACCTGGTCTGCCGTTTACACAAGCCAGTCCATGACACTCTGCCGTCAGGTCAAACGCGAGAAGAGATGCTTTCGGCGACCAAAATGATACAGCGACATTCGATCCGAACCGTCATTGAACGAATCATCCGGTGGTTCCCAGTCGGCAGCCAAGGTCCTGATCTTTAAAAAAAAGGTCCCCCACAAGGCATTTGGCCACGTATCTCCTCGGACTCTGGCCCGAAGTCGAAGGGACCAACAGTAAAGTCTTGTTCCTCCTCCATAGACATGTTCTCTGCTCGTGAGTAAGGTCAAGATAAGCGTGAGCTTGCGATTCCGGATCATATTCTAGGATCCTACGCTGTATAACAAAGGGTTCTCCAAAAGGTCTATGGCTCGTAAAGTCATGAACTACGACATCTGATTAAAGCACCACAGCGTGCTTGATTACATCGTAGTATCTTGACATCATGACATGGTGGTCTCATGCTTTAACAGGGCACCCTCAATCCTTACGACCATCAGTCTGTTAGAAGATAGCCCGAAAGTACAGCGCTTTGTACATTGTAGATTTTAATGCGGAGGCTACTTACTCACCGCATATCGCCCAGCTACCCTAGGCCTCCTAGGAATCTGATCGCCGGGAAACACTTTCCCTCGTGCGAATCAAGGTGGGATCCTTCGCAAAGACCACCCTCCTCTCAGACGCTCTCACTCGGAGCTTCTTCCTTTGATGGCTCTTGATATTCCCGCATGATATCAACATTTGCCCCTCATGGTCCTTCACACTTTCTCAGAAGATCAACGTTTGTCGCTTGGGTAATACGCATAGGGCTCAGTGCGATGCTTTTTGGCATCCCACCAGCCCCTGGAACGTTCGAGTACCCCAAAAAGGGCCGATCGGAGGCATATGGCCCCCGGACCGTCTCTGAAGAAACTTGGACAATTGGTCCTAGATTCGCAAACAACGGTCGTACGGTAGCAATCGAGGCAGCGATGATTCCGAGATTCTGTTCGAGCCTGTCTTTCTTTCAGCCCCATGAGATTTCGTAGATACTCTTGCTAGGACTCACACGGCGAACACCATGTTGACTGCGTCTGCGTCTGGAGTGACTGTCAGAGCTTGTGTGGGGGGTCTCGAGGTGTGAAAGAACTTACGAGTGACATCCGCGGACGAATTCGTATGCAAAAAGGCAATGCGGAGGATCGAGAAAGATGCAGTACTTGAGTCGCGCTGATCAGCATCACAGACGCCGCCTGAGCACGCAAAGTCTTAGATAGAGTGCCATAGGCTTACACGACCCCGAGTCCCATGACTACTGAAAGTCCTATCTTTAACGATCTGTTTATCTGGAGTCTTCGTATAATCAAGGCAGGTAGGCCGGCGCACGTAAAGTCCGTGAATATATTGATAGCTGGGATATCGTCAGAAATATCACAAAAGGGCAGGGGGGAGTATTCACCGGCCTGCACGTATGCGATAGAGGTCGAGACGTTTTCCGAATAGCATTTTCCCTTGAGGTCGAGGTCGTAAAGTGCCCTTAACGGTCTGCACTGTGCCAGCAAGGCAATGACCAGACCGAGGGTTGAGATGATCAGAAACCCCATAATGACATAGATGAAGTAGCGCACAAGATGTCGAGTTTTGGTGATGAAGCGTAGAATAGAGATACACACGGAGATCTTGACAAAGCAAGTGCCGATCACAAACTCAATTCCTTGAACAAAGGTCCACTTGATGAACTCAGACAGTTGTACGGGCGTCAAGGTATCGATATGCCGGCCAGCGCCATTGGCAACTTGGTAAACGTTGGCGACCGTGCCTAAAAGAGATAGGGTCTGGGTCCAGTGAGCAATACTGAGCTTCATATTGTGTGAATCAGAGGGAAGAATCACCAAAGCAACGCAGATGGTATAGTCATCCCAGCCGGTGATACGGCGTTTCATGCGAACGTACATGCGAAGGAAGACAAGATTTGCACCGATAGCAAAGGTCACCAAGGAGATCGAGGACACAGTCATTCCTCGAAGATTACTGTCCTGCACCGGAGGCGATGGGGTTGCCATCCTTTACAGCGTCAATATTCAATCTCGAAGAGCAGTAATTTCACGATGCTACAATTTGGAGGGTTTTGTTCGAGATCGAGGAACTCAACAATGTTTGACGACAACAGATATTTACATTAGACGGCGCTTTTGATCTGAAAGCCGAGGGAGCCGACCATTTCAGCATCAAACGCCGCGTTACGACATAGCTGGGAGTCATCTACGGAACATTCCACAGTTTCAGCTCGAGATGACAGCCTCATCTGCAAAGTATCGACCATGGCCATCTGACCGCCCCATACGAATACTCTGTCAGATCAGCAGTTGAATTCTCCGAGGGGGAACATTTCGGTTAGAGCTGCAGTTGGTAACACGCAATATCTTATCGTTGCCGTATCTGGAAAAAAGCCGACAGGGCCTAGAGCTTTAAGGAGTAGTGGGAAGCGTGCAGAAAGACAAAAACGTCCAACCGGCACGGCGCGGATGTTGCGATTGGTCACGTGGCGGCGCGCATACTTCATGTACTTTGTACTCTACTCTGATTCGTTATACTCATAGATCGCGGCAGGTGCCAGTGGATTCCACCCTCCATTATCCATGCCATCAGAAGTTCAAACGCACGTATTACTTATCTACCCTGCAGAAGGTGCCTCGGCATAAGCAAGTGAGTGGTCTGCCTTGCAAATGCAGCAGCAGCAACCGATACGATATATCATCGACAAGTCTTTTTGAAGTAAATGGTTTCCCCAGTCTGTCGAAATTATTGGCTTCGTTCTTTCTTGCCTGTTGGATGAACAGGAGCCCACTTTATAGCATTTAATGGATCCCGATCATCGTATATGTCGCGTTCATCTTACATCATTCCCTGCTGCCATCTTGCAAAGTGCTTTTAGACAACCGTCCAGCCTTATAGGTGAAGCGAGAGCCGAAATGTCTATCCCGGATTACGCCAGTACCGCTGTCATGAACGTCAGACTGCTTACGTGAATACTTCCCGGTTCTCGAAACACCGCCGATCAGCACACAGCCATCATTTGAGACGATACCAGCTTGAGCGTAGGGAGATGGAAGGTCAGCGCTAGTACTGGCGCCCATGGGAGTCGCCGGTCTCGCAGAAGAGCCCAGCATGTTGTTTCGGTCATGCCGTAGATGACTCTCACGACGCTATAACCGCCGCAGAGAATGTTGACAGCGACAGGCGTCTGCCTGGAGACAATCAGCGACCCTGTATGGATCGCCTTGACGCGATGCAGCCGTTGGCTCGTCGAAGGTGAAGGTAGCATATATGCGAACCGTCGAGCGCTTGCTCGGTAGCGCAGACGACGTCGCCGCGACGCTTGGTTATACAGCCGAGCCTAGTCTGTAGGAGCGAGAGGGGAGAGTCGTGGATCATCATTTGAGGTGCGGGCGTGAAGGGTAGTCAGAAGCCAGAAGTGAGCGCCAATCAGCACGGTACTGAAGTCGTGGAAGGAGCGCTCCCGTCGGGTTTGAGAGGCTATGGAGGCTGAAGGGACGTCAGCTGTGCCTGCGTGGAGGAAGTTCTTGTGAGTCACTTCGACGTCTTTGGGGGAGGGTTGGGCTGTCGAAGGGTAAGACCGGTGAATTGAAAGATGATGAAAGTGTTTTGGTGAAATTACCTCAAGATGTAATCGATTGTGAGTGTGATATTCATATCTTCTTTCATTCCGTGCTCATTCCACTAAAATCCAATCCTGGTCGCTCGTCCATCAACTCCGTCAAAGAAGCTGAGTTGGAGCCAGACCGCATACCACCCTATTTCAGATCTTCACCGAAGTCGTCGACTTTCGCCTCCTCAATTCCAGACAACGTCGCCGCCGAAACCCCAATCTCTCCGAGGCCTTCATAAACCAGCATAGCTTTTTGCTCGGCTGCGAAGTACGGTGCTCTTCCGACGAACATCGCCCCCGCAGCTATTGTTCCAAGCCAGATAATAGGAGCACGGATGTGTTGGGGTGAATTCACCAACACAAGGTCTCTTAGATAATTGCCAAACGTTCGAAATCCGTATGCGAATGCGTTGACAAGGCGCTCGACGTCAGCGTAGGTGTAAAAGTCGATTTCGAATGAAAAGGCGGAAATGATGCAAGGGATCGAGGTTGAAAGCCAGTGTAGATTGGGGGAACGGGGAAATGAGATGATGTGGGCGAGGGCGGGCCGAGTAGAAAGGTTAGGAGGTTGATGGGTTGGGAAGGGACTGGAGATGAAGATGAATACATGTCGGCCTCCAACTAATAAAGACAACAAGTGAGTATGTCCGGGGTAAATACAAAATCAAGACGCATCTGAACACGGGGGGGAAGGAAAGAGAAAGGAAAAAAAGGTCGCGGGTGAGAAATTGGCCATGATACATATTGGCTAAATTGACGGAGCCGCCTTTTGACCATCGATATCCCGGGGTTTGCCACCCAGGCCGGCGGACTGCGCTTTGAACCTCACCTCTTTACCGGCCAAAGCCTCAGAACGGGTATCTTCATAGCTGATAAAGCATTTCATCGCATTGTCTACTGCGAGGCCAGCAGCGTAACCCTCTTGATGAAAACATGCGTCCGTCTTGCATAACCTTCCTTGAATCGTCAGACATTCTTTGAGAGCCGATATGCGTCTATGAGCCCAGTTATTTTTTGCGCGGATAATAAGCACACTGTCAACTTTCTCCACATGCATTTCCCCACAGACGAACTCCGTTCCCACCGCAGCCACAATGAAACACACCTTCCGTGAAGGCTCAAATCTCTCCTTCGTACCCCTTTCGTCACTTGGATGCCCACGGGTCTCCCAAACCTCCTCTTCACGCTCAAGCGTGTTTCCTGAGGCTTAGGTTAGCGGACACAGATCTTTTTGGCAATATCTAGATCGAGCTCCAAAGGACATGACAACTTACGCAAAAAGAGGCGCCAAACCCTTCCCAGACCTCGAAAATAGCTTCATCTGCCCTCCAGCGCCGCTCGCGCCCAGGTTGTTCTCCGTCCTGACCGCGGATGAACCGGCTTTGAAATACGTTTCATACCCATCACTGTTCTCGATTCCTGCTTTCTTGAACCAGATCTTCGCCTCCCCCATCTCCGCTTCCAGCAATACCCCCAATTCATCCACTTGGCCGTCTTCGCCAAGTCGGAATTCGGCTTTGGAGAGGCCATCGGTCGTAATTTCGTGATCGCCTGGCTCGATTCGTGCTTCAGTGCTGAAAAGGCGGATGTAGATCGCGAAGTACTCGCCGCTGACGTGCTGGAAAGACATGGAGATTGGGTATTGTTCATATTGGATCAAGCAATGGAGGGTTTCTTGGGGTTGAGAGGCTCTGTGGGAGGGGTTGGTGCCGTTGATGGTGAGGGTGAGGGCGGGATAGCCTTCGTTTATGTAGGTCTGTTCGCGCGTCAGCGGGTATTGAGTACGGAACGGGGATTCCAGATGGAGTCATACGCCTGCGTAGGAATGTAGAGGTAAAGAGAGAGGTATGGAGTCTTTGCCTTTAGGCGCACTCGGAAACAAGAGATTTCTCGCGTTCTTTAATGTTTCCAACTCCAGTGACTCATTGAGTTCCAACAAGGGGGCCCAATCAAATCTTTCTCGCTCGGGAATTTCCATCATATCGTCGATCAACTTGAAAACCAAGTTCTGAATCGCACCGCCCGTTCCGCCATTGGCCATCATAGTAACACCCCATTGTAGGCGTGGGAAGTACATCATTACGCTGCTGAAGCCCGGTAAGCCTCCTGTATGCCACATCAACACTTCACCACGGTAGTTGCTGACATGCCAACCTAAGGCGTAAGCTTCGGACCCTCTGAAGCCAGTCGGTTCCTCTGCTACTGGACCGCTGATTATCCGGGGCGAGCGAAGGGCGCGATGTCCAGCCGGTGATAGCGGAGCGGACATCGTCATCATGCAGCGTATCCACTTGGTGTAGTCGAGTACGTTGGAAATGGTTGCACCGCATCCAGACTCCTGTGGGGCATCGAGCCAAGGGATGCTGTGATAGTTTTTGGTCTTGTTGGTCCAGTAGTGTGGAGTGGCTAGGGACGGTCCACCAGAAGCTGCCGATTTTTGGGCGTCTGAAAGTGAGAAGAAAGTGCTGGACATGCGCAATGGCTGATAGATTCGTGTTCTGAGAAAATCGCCAAGCCACATGCCAGTCCATGTCTCAATGAAATGTGAGATTGCGATATACATCATATTGCAATACTGGAACCTCGTCCGAATTTCTGCAGTCATCGGTAACTGGCGAAGATTCCGAACGACGTCCCGCACTGTGACGTTAAGTCCGCCGTAGCTTAGATCATGGCGGGGCATACCAGTGCGGTGGGAGAGAGCGTCTTCGATGGTGACGTGAGAGGTGGCATATTCGTCGGGTAGTACGAAGTCCTCGCGCACCACATTTTCGAGTGGTACCTGCCAAAAAAGGCTTTCGCTGGTGTTGACGGAGTCGTCAATGAGTAGGGAGACGGCGGCTGCAGTGAAAGACTTGGTGGTAGAGGCGGTATAGAAGAGGGTTTCTGGCGTGATAAGCTTGTCTGGGAATGTTGCAATGCCGTAGCCCTGTGATGGTCAGCTTGTCCACGTTTCTGTTTGCATGGACAAGGAATAAAACCGCTCCAAAGTGCGCGTGAGACTATTTTGGGAGGACTGGTCTTGTGCTTAATACATTATGAGTTGTTCGAAATTTCAAGTCCAAACCCGCCCAGACAAGTACTACGTGCTGCTAGGGATCCAGCTTCGAAGCAAATTCATTTCTGTCTGGCTCGCATTGAGCCGCCAACAGCTTTTCACGGAGAAACTCATACTTTGCTGAAAGTGTCATCGCCCTGTATGACAGCCATGGCTAGTCCTGGAGTATGCCAACGGTCCAAATTCTCGCTAACCAGCTTATCGAAGCTTGCTGTGAATGGAGAAGAAGTCGAGTCGGTCAAAGGGACTTGCCGAGCACCAAGTCCGATTTCGGGAAGAAGAGCGAGGCAGAACAGATAGAAGAGCATCTTTGTTATGGCTTCTGATTGATCGTT